AGATCTCCAACATTGAATTCAATGAAACGGCGCTTTAGATCTGCAGTCTTTTTATACTGTTTTTGAGCTTTCTCAAGATAACTCCGAGCAATTTCAATATTTCGTTTCCACTCTTGAGAAAAGTTCTTTGCTTGAGGGGACTTGATACTTCGTTGGATATCCACTGTATGAGGGAGTAGCGGTTGCTGGCCAGTAACAATCTCAAAAGGACTCTTATTGGTGGAAAAGCTCTTTTGGGCATTAAAGCAAATCTGAGCCGCATCCAAAAGTTTTACTCAGTTTTTTAGCGAAGTAGAGATAAAGTGCCGAAAATATTCTTCTAGCATAGAATTGAAGCGCACCATCTGTCCGTCAGATTGTGGGTGAAAACTAAAACTCATGCTCAATATTAAACCAAGAAAACGAGGATCTCGATCACTGACGATGTCATTAGGCAGTCCCCAGTATTTAACAATATGTTTAAAGAAGAGTTGAGCTGTCTCTTTCGCGGATACATACTTAGGCGCTGTAATGAAAGTTTCATATTTTGATAGACGGTCCACCATGATGATGATAGTACCAAAATCCTCAACTTTTGACAACCCAATAATGTAGTCCATCGATACACTTTCAAATGGCCAGGTTGGGACGGAAAGGGGCTCCAGTAAGCCCGCCTTTTTCTGATGATCTGTCTTATCTTGCTGACAAATAAGACAGATTTTTACATAGGTTGCAATGTCGCCTTACATTTGAAGCCAATAGTATGCAAGTTGCAGTAGTGCACAAGTGCGTTCCTCCGCGGGATGCCCTACCCAAATCGTGTTATGGTATTCTGTAATTAGTGATTTCCTCAAATCTCCGTCCTTAGGAACATATAGGCGGTCTCCCTTTGTCTTCACTAGTTCCCCATCGAGCCAGAACTGTCGAGTTTTACCCTACTTGATGAGGTTGACCAAATATTGAGTAGTCGGGTTCTTCTCCATAAGTGCCCGAATTTGGTCTCTAGTGTTCGTGGAGACGGCGCTCCCTAAAAGAGCAGCTACGGAGCAAATGGCAGCCAAATTGGCCTGTCGACTTAGAGCATCAGCAACATGATTACAAGATCTGGGACGATACTCTAACATAAAATTGAACTTTGAAAGAAATTTCTGTCAACGAGCCTGCTTGCTCGATAGTTTTAGTTGGGACATGAAGTGACTAATTGCAGTGTTATCTGTCTTCACAATAAATGGAGACCCAAGCAAATAGTGACGCCATCCTCTGAGACAATGGACTTCTGCCAACAATTCCTTTTCATGTGCCGAGTAACGACGTTCTATTTGGTTTAACTTCCGGCTCTCATATGCTACCGGATGTCCTTCTTACATGAGGACTCCACCAAGTGCAAAATCTGAAGCATCTGCATGAACTTCAAATGGTTTAGTCATATTTGGTAAAGCTAAAACCGAGTTCATCCACATGGACTTCTTCAACCTTTCAAAAGCAGTTTGGCATTGGGATGACCAATCACAATCCTTATCATTCTTTGTCAATTCGGTAAGTGGCAGTGCAATTTCTGAATAGCCTTTCACAAATCTTCGATAGAAATTGCATAACCCAAAAAATGAACGTATATCATGTATGGTTTTTGGAAGTTGCCAATCTTTGATGGCTGTAACCTTCTTCGAATCCATGCGAATTTTACCTTGTTCAATGATGTGACCCAATAAACTGATAGATGTCTGAGCAAATGAGCATTTAGACGGCTTGGCATAGAGTTCATTCTCCAGTCGCTGATTAAAAATTTGCCTCACATGCTAGACCTGTTCCTCCAATATCTCGCTGTAGATTACTATGTCGTCCAAGTACACCACGAAAAATCATCTAAGAACCCGTAAAGTACCTGATTCATCATAGTACAAAATGTTGCTGAAGCGTTTGTCAAACCAAAAGGCATCACTTTAAATTCAAAGGCTCCATATCTGGTTACCATTGTAGTCTTTGCTTCGTCTCCCTTCTTGATCCGAACTTGCTAGTATCCGAACCTAAGATCAATTTTTGTGTAATACTTCGCCCGACTTAGTCGATCGAAGCAATCCGCAACCAGTGGGATAGGATAGCTATTCTTTACAGTAATCTTGTTCAAGGCTCAATAATCACAGCACATTCTAAGAGAACCATCGCCCTTTTTCTGAAACAATATAGGAGCTCCATATGATGACTTCGCAAGCACAAGGATTCCACTCTCCAATATTTCTCTCAATTGTTTCCTAAGCTCTTCAAGCTCAAACTGAGACATACGGTATGGTACCCTGGCGGGAGGTTTGGCGCTTGGAATAAGTTCAATCTCATGATCAATCGTCCTTCTTGGTGGTAATTTCTTTGGTAATTCGTCCGGCATGATGTCCCCAAATTCCTGAATAAGCCTTTTAATGGGTTTTGGAATAGGACCATTCACATCTTCGATCTCCTCTAATCGAAGAGTGCACAAAAAGAAAGGTTCATTTCTCTTAAAACCCTTACTAAATTGCATGGCTGAGATACTCTTCTCGTCCATCCTCCTAACCTGTGTAGGGATGACACATGACTTATTACCAATCATCATTAACGAATCGAAATATGGCAACACTGCTGTCTTAGGATCCCGAAGAAATTCCAATCCCAGAATTAGCTTGAAATCATCCATCTGAACTGTAGATAAATTTTTCCTTCCCTCGAAAGGACCTGCTTTGATTAACACCGATTTCGTTACTCCAGCTATTGTTTAAGCAGCAGAGTTGATTGCTTTGACTTTTCCACTACCCTTTTCCAGAACAAGTCTGAGCCGCTCTACTTCGGTACATGCAAGGTAGTTGTGGGTAGCACCAGTATCTACCATAGCCCTGATTGGCTTCCCGTTGATTTTTACATCAATGTACATTAAGCCTTTGGCCCTACAAATTCGAGCCTTCGCTTCTTCCATCTTTGCCTCTTTCAGTAGGACATCATCCTTTTCAGCAACTCGATGCGACAGTGTGTTGGACCGATGTGAAAATGCCCCAACTACGTCCTCATCCTCTTCGGAGTAGGTCTCACTATTACAATTAGCCTGCGGGGCCTCTTGCTTTGAACTTGACCCGCCACTTGCTAGCTGACAATATGCATTTACTATCCGCTTTTGAGGACACTCCGACATCCGATGAGGTCCTTCGCATAAAAAGCACTTCAATTCCTTGACGGCTATTATAATAATTTTCCTGAAAGCCATGGGTGCTTTGATAGGCTCCTTCTTTATTCTGAAAGTAACACTCTCCCCCATTTGAGTTCAAGCTAGATCTGTAAGGTCTGTTACCCGCCACTTGCTAGCTGACAATATGCATTTACTATCCGCTTTTGAGGACACTCCGACATCCGATGAGGTCCTTCGCATAAAAAGCACTTCAATTCCTTGACGGCTATTATAATAATTTTCCTGAAAGCCATGGGTGCTTTGATAGGCTCCTTCTTTATTCTGAAAGTAACACTCTCCCCCATTTGAGTTCAAGCTAGATCTGTAAGGTCTGTTACCACCTCCAATTGCTTGATTACTCCCCGAAGGTCGATCTTTTCTAGATTCCATTTGGTAGTCGCTTAAGCATTCAACGGCTCCCATGGCCGTACACAAATCGGTAACTTTCTGTCTTTGAAGTTCCGTGCGTGTCCACGGTTTCAACCCTTCCATAAAGGTGAAGAATTTATCCTTTTTCGACATATCTCGAATATTCAGCATATGCCCCGAAAAGGACTTCACATACTCCCTGATAGAGCTTGTGTGTCTCAGGTCTCGAAGTGCCCGTCGAGCCTGATACTCGACATTTTTCGGGAAAAACTGCGATCTGATCGCTTCCTTGAGGAGATCCCAAGAATCAATTCGAACCCTGTTGGCCTGAATGTCAGCATATTTGGGTCGCCACCATAGTTTTGCATCTCCACCCAAAGACATGGTAGTTGTGGTTACCTTTCTAGCTTCGTCTTCGATCGAAACTGCGAGAAAGTACTATTCTATGTCAAACAAGAAGTTTTCGACTTCTTTTACATCACGTGTCCCTCCGTAGGTACACGGTTCGGGAATTCTGAGTCTAGGAGCATATTCAGGTACGGGAGCTTGCCCATTGCCCACCGCACGTTGGAGTATCCGCAATTGAGATCTCAACAATTACATTTCGTCCTGCAAATCAGAAATAATTGCAGCAGCTTCAGTCATTGCTACGCAAGCCCTTTGGCTTTCATCCAATTGGATGTGTAATCCACGAATCTCAGATTCAGCCATCTCGACTTTTTCCTCGAGACCATCCAAGGCACAACCTAGTAGTTGTCTCATCAAGTGCATCCACGCACTGTTTAGTAGCACTCTTCTTTTGAGGCTCTTCCACTTCAGTGGTGTGGGATGTAATTGGATCCATAACTTTTTTATTGAGGGTCATGAGCCGCAACTCTGATACCAACTTTCACAGGGTGCCTTTCTTCTTGGCACAGAAAGGGACACCGTGCAGCAGTAATCTGCTTCGCTAGACTACTTTCCGCCTTTTCTCGGTCGAGTCGGGACGAAAGAAAATTTGATTACAATTTTGTAGAAAGCTTACAATAGAGAATTTGAATACATTGAAAATAAATTGAACATTGATTGATGAAAACTGAACATTACAATTGACGAAAGCAGAAAATTACAATTGCCGATGCAGGGGGAGGACACCAGTGAGCTTGAAAGATTTTTGAATGACTAATACCCCATATAATAGCATTCTGAACAAAAATCTAAGTGACAGGAGTAGACGTTTAAAAGACGAGGAATCATACTAAACATTTACTAATATCAGAGCTATTTTACAACTGAATTAACTATTACAATAAAAAGAAAATTACAATTCAAATTTGAAGTAATATTTACAATGTGCGATTAAAGTTGGGCAAACTGCAGCTGCGATGGTGTCAAAGGACTAAGTAAATCTGCGGTCCCTGACACCTAGAAATGAACAAAAAGTAAACCACTTTAATGTTTGGTACGGTACGAATACGATTGGGTCATTTTGGTATGGCAGGAGTATGACTTTTAAGGCCAACCACTACATAGGAGCGAGCAACCCTTACACCCCTAGCAACTGCCTACTTACATATAGATGATTTAAATCTATTAAAAAGAACACCCCTCACACTATAGGAGTTGAAGATAAGAGAAATAGATTAACCTATCACATCAGTAGTAAAGATCACTTAAACGAATCCCTACTAAAAATCTAATTTTTAACAAAATCAAGCGAGGCCTTAAGTGTCTATGCAAGAGGCTTCCGACACAATATCAGTGCGAGCTGACTTGCCTACCTAAAAGGAATAAAACTTGAAACATAAAAACAACAAATAACGAACCATATTTACCAGAATCTACGGAAATTCTGCAAGCTTTTGAGGAATTTAACATTTTTTTTGGAAATCGCTGAAGAGCTGGAAACTCAAAACGATAGAATCAATAGTTCTATTTTTGATAGTTTATTTGTATGTCTAATTGGAGAGATTCTCTCACGAGCATCCAAAATAATTCGTTCCAAACCCATATTTCTTGTTAACTAATTTTGATAATAAATCGACGAATCCATTATCCAATTTCAAGTTCATTGTCGTAAAGTCCAACTTACAAGATAATTCATCACAAAAACCACTTGGTCTGTTAGTACGAAATTGCACAATATGAACATTTTTTGAATTTCGACAAAATAAATTTTGTCTGGCTGCTCATCCCGTAAATAAGGTACTGCAAGAACCCATCTATATATGCCTTACAAGGCACGGTATTGCATGACTTGAATTCTTGATGTAGATGCTTCTTCAGAATCTACGAGCATTTAGTACTCGTGTGATTGAAGACACTGGAAGTTATGTACAAGTGTCTCTCTGCACATTGTGGACAAAATGGTTAAAATTCGATGCCACTATTCAACTGAGCGGAGAAAGAAGGCCAGCCATAGTTGCCAAGAGGAGTTTCGACTTTGAAAACTACCCCGGTGCTCCCAACATTTCCATTCCACTTAGACCTGCCAATCTACACTCAGGAATACAAATAAAAAAAATTAAGAAAAATCATATATAATCGTTTATAAACACAATGACAAATGCCATGAGAGTTGCATAAAAGTAAGCGAGGTTTCAGCAACAAGGTGTGAAGGGTAGATATATATTAGCCTCATTTCAGTAGCATCATTTCAATTGAACGATAGGTGATGTAAATTAGCGAAAACTTAATAGGCATTTAGTTAGATAGAAATGCCTAACCAAAACAAAATAAGGGATAAAGCTGGAGTTAACCATTTAGCTAACAGTCGGCAAGAATCTTCACATGCTACTCGTTTGTGTTTCTTTCAGAAACTTAGTGCATGTTTTGGTAGCTGATTATTTTACAATCATTTCTAGAATTCAAGTCATATTTCATATGACCCACAACTACTACCCGCTTATTATCCCACAGTTTATAATCACTTAATTTGTGGCCATACATGCACTCACTGGTAATCCCTTCCCAAACTAAAAATGAATCTCAAGCAGAATATATTAACATCTACGTAAGACTCCACCTGATAATTTCAACAATAAAATTCTGTAGACCATTAGTGTAATTTCCTGTCCATGATTCTACAATTTATTGCAATTTTTTAACTGGAATAGTATTAGAATGACTATCTGGATACAGTTTTTAATGCGTATCTAGAACCATAGAGATACAGGATTGGATTAGTGGAATATTAGTGGTTCAAGAATGTCTGCAAAGAAGCCATATATACTTATCATTATGAACAAATTTAAATCATCATAAGAGTCAATCAAAAGTTACCAACTTCAGGGTGGATGGATGCGACACAGAAATCCATTAACAAGATAACCTAACCCTTTGTTTAGGTAGAATTTATAAATGGATATAAATGAGTGGATGATAAGTGGGCAGTACTTGTAAATCTATTGGAATGTTGGCTGAAAATGAAGTTTGTCCATTTATAAATAATTTATAAATTTTGCCAATGGAGGCTAAATATACAGAGAGCACGCGGGTATCATGAAGAAGATGAAAAGGCCTCTTCGGTTCACTTTGCGGACCAGAATTAGTTTCTTACTTTCTGATGGCCCATGAATTTTTCGTCAATGTTCCATAAAATAGTTTTATGTTGCATATACTGATGTGTAAAGTATGTTGAAGAAGTCGAGGCAAACAAGTCTGTAAAGTCTGCAAACCTTATATATATGCATGTCTAGCCTTGGTGCCTATGCAGGAAAAGGGATACATCCAGCATACATAAAATAACAAGAAAACCCAGCCAGACATTGCTTCAAGTAAATTATATATCCCATTTGCTGGATAACAAGAAAAAAACCCCAGCAAGTCATCATTTCAAGTAAATTATATATCCCACTCGAAGATCAAGTATGTATTCAACGTGATAGTTCCAAAGGTTTTGCCAAGTTTCATTCATTTTAGCAAGCAATGAAAGCATATTAGAATCTACTGCCCTTGTACAGCATAAATCACAGCCTTTTAAGGGAACACAATAACTTACAGATACTGATGCAAATGCAGAAGGATTTGTCACAAGAGAACAGCCGCAGATAAGACTCAACTCCTCCTTTATAGAATGGGTAAATTCCACCCGTGTCCCCGGGTTGCAGCCACCAAATGTAGGGCACACACTGGCAATAATGTGAGAATAGACAAGGTTAGTAAAAGATTTTACTGGGCGTATGCCACACGTTAAACGTGCAGGAAGCAAATAAATTCCATTAACTAGAGAAGTGAAGATATGTAGCTTCGACTGTCAGACCTAACCAACCCCAGCTCCCCAATTTGAAAAACAGAGCAATCACATAGAATGTTTGAAAGAAGTGAAGTCAAAGCTGTACAATGGGCAACTATCTCCTGCAGTTCTAAGTGATAACAAAACTATTTAAATATTAAAATAGAATTGCATGCAATACTCGCACTGCAAGTCTCAAATAAAGAAATAAATAGTATCACCTGAACTGGATGGTTGGCCGTTCCATGAGACCAGTTCGCTTCCAAGCTAAAGCCTGCTCCAGGCCCAAAGTAAATGATTTATCGGGCCACTGCAATGTTGGTGTTATGCTCGTGCCCCACTTATTCTGTATGCAGTGCACAAGATACCCACTAAAGAACATTAGCTATCTGACATCCCCTAGCCAGAGAGAAGTTCAAAGCAAGAATTATTTCCATGATGCTTTTAAATCTCCACAGCTCACCTTGCACGAGAAGCTGAATTTCATCTCTCCTGGATATTGACCCTGAGCTTGAAGAAGACCTCCACAAAGGGGCAGAAATGCCTTGGTGGACAGGCCCTCACCAGATACAAAGGTGACCTGGCCATTTGGAAACTGCAAGTCCATGAAAGACTGCATATATAGGAAATGAAAAATGTTTCAGAAGCCGGTCTAACTTAAATTAGCAGATTGAAAGCTAAGCTAGCCAAGAGAACATTGAAAATTTAGACAGCAGCAATATGTTGTGCTGGGCAGTGCATCTAAGATCATTTATCCTAAAGAAATAAACAAAAGGGCTACGATAACAATATTATGAATTATGTAAATATGCAGCATTTAGATATTTTTCTGTTTCATTAACCAGCTCAGTTATTAGTGGCCTCTTCTCATTTTATTTGTATACACAGATGTAAGGCACGTGCATGACAGAGTAGTCAAATCATGGACTATACTTTTTTCAAGGCAAGGCAAGAATTTCCTGCATATCTCCTTTTCCCTTAAGCATATGCTTGGCAAGTTTTTATAAAAGGTCAAAAAATGATAAAAGCAAATTTTATCCACGCATTCCATGGAATGCACTTATCCACCACTCATTTCTATCTATTTATAAACAAAACATTTTACAAACAAGCTCTAATTGTTTATTTCCCCATGAACATTGACAGCATAAACAGTTACCCTCATAGGGAAATACCATTGCCCCCTCTCAAGCTCCATCTCTCTATTATGCCTTCTATTTCTTAGTAGACAGACAAGGAATTACATAAAGAGAAGTTAATTACATGATTGCAGATTACAGTATTGTATAAATTTAGCAATTGTTATGTGTTAATATATTTTCAACGCATTAAGTACAGATTTTCCACAAGTATCACTCAGAAATGTGGAAAAGTAATACAAGATTTATTGTGCAGTAGTAAGACCACCCAGACAATCTGAAGTTCTATTTCACATCACATAGGACATCACGCAGATCATGTAAATTATGGACTCGGACTTACAAAGGTCAGTGGATTGAGGCAGACCATAGACATTAACAGCCACCTTCTATGCTTTGACCATACAGCTGGACAAAGGGAATGCATTCCATTCTGTTCACATTAGAGAAAGCGAGGCAGAGATAAATGAGACAAACATATGTCATATTTTGTCAAAGAAAGTTGACAAACAAATATCACAAGTGTTGTGCATTGCGTTACAGTCATTGACGATTAACAAGGGAAATACAGATACTCTGCAGTTTGCACAAAACAGGATTCAGAGCAAATATATACAAAGTTTAGGATGAAAAATATACAATTTTTTTCTGGGTGATAACATTGCTGAAATCCTATCATTTAGGATTAGTATCTCTGATATGCAGGTACTTCCCATTGCCCATACAGTCTTAATTAGTAGTTAAAAACAGTCCCAACTTATATTAGGAACCCCAAGTAGTGTTAGCCAAGAGAGCAAATTAATTACTTAGTTTCACAGAATATCTTATCGTGTCCTTCGTAGGATTAGAAACTCAGAAACCTACAATTAATTATGCAATACTAATATTATGTTTATTTCATTTCAAGGACAAAGTCGAAGAGAATTTAAGATTAGTGTTATAAGTTATGTGAATTTGCCTTACACTTGCGAGTGAAGTTCTTTCCACTCTTTTTCTTTTCTTTCTTCTTTCCTGGTATTTAAGTATTAGACTTCTCTCTTCCAACACAAAATCCAACAAAATAATTCTGGGTTTTTATTAAAATATATATATATATATATATATATATATATATATATATATATATCATACTTGTAGTGCATGCGTCATAACCCAAGTAACTAAAATGGATGCTAAAAGACAGCAAGACAGCAATGACATCTACAAAAAAAACTTCGAGCCTGAGGTCTACCTTAATTCTCTTAAAATATTTACAGGAAGATTAACAATGAAAAAATGCTCCAGCGTGCATAATCTTTTCAATATATATTTCACCCCTTTTTCCTGAATTGAGCAATGTCAATGCCTACCCACTCACTTACTAGGGACAATATCAGAGAAGCAAAAACTTCTATAGATAGGAGTTGGAAGTATTCACAATCATCCAATCAAATATACATCATCAGGACATCTGTGAATCCACATGGATTAGAGATACTAAGTGTATTGGTGCACATCAATCCAATACATATCCAGAGGATCATTCCCAGCCATCTTACTTCACTCAAACTCAAACCTCATGGACAACGACAAGTGACACCTTTGACTTTAAAGTTTGAAGAAACATCATTTACATCTTATAAGTCCATTAATACTATTTGTAAACCATTGTAATCTCCATTATAAATTCTCTAGTTATATCAATGTTTGTCTAGGAAGTGCCATATCCATTTTCCTTTTGAACTTGCCATCATTTACCTTCCTAGTCTGCTTAGGACCAATGAAATAGAAACCAGTACAAATAGGGGTTTGTACTGGTGTTTATTAGAATATATTATGTAAGAAGAATCTCAAGATATCAGATTACACACACTACATTATGGATAACAGATTTTCAATAATAAAATGAATATCTATGCGAGATGCAAAAAATGTTTTAATAAAACACAATGCAGATATTCATCTTCAACCATTTATGCTTAAAAATAATAATTAATTAAAGCATATAGAGCATCATTGGCTTAATCAGCATATCAAACAATCATAATTGTAAAAAATCTCTGCAGAATGCACGTGAAGCCTTTCCAATATTTTAAGTCACAACTTAGGATTGATCACTTTTGCGTTGAGCTGTAAGTTTGTCATACCTTCCTATCGTAGCCGTACCAAAGCAGGTGCCGCTTTGACAAATGAACAGGCAAAAGAAGTGTTGAATCACGAACAAAAAGTATAGGTCCGAGCTGGATAAGGAACAAGGATGAATTCTCATTTCCTGATGTTGAACTTCCTTGTGAGGCCTCTACTCTCCATAAATCTCCCCTAGCAACCAAAGAACTTTCGACATTCCTTGTACTACTGTCATAGGTTGATGTGAAATTGATTATGCCCTGCAATGGGGGAAACTCAATTATCAAAGCTGTGAAAGAAAGAACTTAGAAACAAGAAAACAAAGGTTGACTTCATAACAAAATAAATTATAGCAGGCATACCTGTTTTGAAAGCAAAATTCATAAGATAAGTCCACAAGAGCATATAATGTGATGACCATCAAAAAAATCACATAACATCAATCATATATATTCACTTATTGAAGGATGTTTGAGAGGATAATTATTTATTATCTTTAAATCACTCGGCTGATACATTATAGACAAGACACTCTATGAGCATTGAAGCAGATTAAAGTTCATAAAATAACAATTCACCTAAACTAAGAAGTTATCATTGCAGAAATCTGTAGCTTCTTTATTCATACTGGCTTGCAAAAGAAGAATAGATGACATTGACACTACTTTTATGCAGAAACACCCTTTTGTTTGGGGTTATGCATAAAAAATCACAGCTTCAGAAAATTACCTGTGATTGACCAAACTTTTTCAATGCCTTCAAGTTAACACCAAAATTCTCCTCCTCGGTCACCCCCTCCGGAACCTTGTCATTTTCAGTGAACCCATAATCCCTAAACCCTTTCGCCATTGATCCCAAATCCTCCTGCAGATGATTAATACTCAAATCAACCCTCTGGCTGTTACTCTCTGTTGGCAATGACAACCCAGTGTTCTCATCATGCCAGAACGGTAGAGGCAGCCGCCTAAAAAACTGCTGAACCACACCATTCAAACACGCCCCAAAATCAGCCCCAGCTTGTCCTATTCTGTTCCCAATGTCAAAAATAGCCGACACACCATTAATCCCAGAATTATCTACCACCAGTCCGAAGTCATTTTTCATGAAATTCTGAGCTGCAAACTCGACTTCAAAGAGGTTTGGCGTTGGAGGGTTGGGCCACTGGAAAGCCGGTGGACTAATATGAGACTGAATTAAACCCGTTAAACCCTGCGCAAGCCTATCGGCTAAGTCTTGGCCATGCCGCTGCACCTCCTCCCATGCTTCAAATGGTCTCTCCACGGACATCATTCGTGGGAACTTGCTTCCACTTTCAAAAACGCTTAAATTTCACTCTAATCCTCAATCAATATATTTCCAACAAAACGCAACCCAAAATACCCAGAAGCTCCAAATAACTAGATCGCAAAGGAAACTCAAAATGATTTGAATTTTAACTTCAATATACGTACATACAGCACGTTTACTCAGCTACAAGAAAACTGATTCTTCAAACAATAGCAGAACTGAGCTCACTGCTCATTAATCGGGATTCAGGAAAAAGAAATTGCGGTGATCGACTGTTTCTAAAAGAGAAGACAACAGTTCTGAAATAACGGTAAATTAGAAATTCCAATTAATCGAAACCAAAAAATAAAATGAACTGGTCAAGGTTTAACACCACTGATATTTTCAGTGCGCGCGTGAGAGAGAGAGAGAGAATGTGCTCGTTCCAAGGGCTTGGTTGGTGAGAGTGGGGGTTTGGAGAAGAAGAAGTTCCTCGACGGTGCGTAGTGCGCACAGCGTTTACTTTAACGCCACGTTGATTGTAATCGTAATCCTATATGTCGCTATGCCCTATCGAAATAATTCCATTTCTCAGCAAGTTATTTTCAGGGGAATTTGCAACATTGGTCCTCTAATTATTTTTTGGTAGCATATTTGTCTATTATCTTTATAAAAGAACAAATTTATACCCACCTTTAATATAGATTAAAATCAATTCTTAATAGGTGTAAAACTTTATTAAACTGCTTTTATTTTTTAATGGATTAAAAAATAACATGCAAATTTAGTAAAAAGACAAATGGTCTGACCTCAACAATGAAAGTAAAATGAAAAATAATATTAATCCCTATAAACAATAATTAAAAATTATCAAATGAGTTATTTCGTAGTGTACTTTCGTCACCTTATCGTTTAATATACATTACATTTAGATAGATGCCCTACATAATAGGACGAAATCAGAGCAACACCATCTTCTCCTATCCCCTCAAAGATTTTTCAAGATGGAGGAGCATAATGAAGATTAAAATATCAGAATATACTTATTTTATGAATTTTAATTTTGTAAATACGATTTAATTTAAACTCATAAAAGTTAATTAAAAAATAATTGTCAGAACATAGTCTTGCTTTCTCTGCGGGGCAAGCGAGGTGGAGGCGAGGAGGATAATTTTGTCACTTCTAACTCTCAATCCGACTAATTGTGCAACTGCAATAAAATATGAGAACTAATTTGCTGTTAAAGTACTAGTGGGGGAATAGTTGTGCAAATGTCTCGTAAACGCAAATTTGAGAGTTATTTACATGTGGGGTCCTCACCAACGAGATTCCTATCATCCAACTTGCGTACAAAAAAATAGTAATAATATATTAGAATTTTTTGTGTGGACCATTTTGTAATTAATTGATAGTCATTATTTCTCTATGTTATTCTTTTTAACAAGACTATTAATTTTTGGTTAAGGTTAAACATGTTAAGCCGTGTTTGGCTGTACTTATAAGTATCAAAAAGCTCTTCTTCTACCAGAAGCATAAGCAAAAGCAGGAGCCCTGCTTTTAAAATATGTTCATAGAATCCATCTCTCTCTTAAACTAATGAACCCTTCAACATGTAACCTTCGTTGGCTACACAAATGAATTTCATAAAGGAGCTCACTGAAACAATTCCGATTACAATCAAAGGCCTTGGAGCAAACGAAAGGAACAACGGGAAGGAAAAAAAAATATATAAAAATGATATTGGTGACAACGATGAAATTAACTAGTTTTGCTTCATTATCCTCTTGTCCCTTATCGGCAATTCTGCAGGTTTTTGCGCCTCGTGAGGATGGTTTGGACCGGTATACACCTTAAGATGGTTGAATAATGCTCGGCCAAGCTGCACAAGCACCAGAAGAAACATCTAAAGATGGCATGAAAAAAAGTAGTGGTTGCTTAGCTATTTCACAACATTAAGGGTTTGTTTGGCACAGTTTATTTTCACTTTTCCTTAACGCATTTTCAACCACAACATTCATTTTTCACTTCTAATAATCTCTCTCAAGGTAAATATACCTGTAGTTTATATCAATAAGTTGAGAGGTGTTCGAAATTTTGATTAGGCTCGTGAGTGAGTTTTGCTTAATATCTTGATTCAATAGCAACGGCAAATGTGCACGTGTTGGTCATAAAGGGAAGAATGTGGCGGCGGTGAGGCATTTCATTCTCTATTTGGCCCGTTTCAAACAAAAGGAGAAAAAAGGGTAGGTCAATATCACAGTGGCAATGGGAAGGTGGGATGGCTAGAAAATTTTCAGATGATGGATCAAAGCATTTTTGTCACTCTAATTTAGATTTACTTTGACTATGAGATAATAATTCCGTTTATTAGAGTTGCTTTAGTGAGAAATTAACTTATAAAAATAAAAAAGATTGAAAGAATTTAATCAAAATATATTCGATAGGCACGAGATATCACAAAGGTTCAGAATGAGAGACAAATGTCACAGAGAGTAATAGAAACTCACCCTTCCTTTCGGAAGCATTCCACGGACAGCATGCTCAACAATTCTTTCAGGTATTCTTTTCTGAAGCTGATCAAATGTTTCAACTTTCATCCCACCCGGTCTCCCCGAGTGCCTCCTATAGAGTTTTTGAGTTCTCTTCTTCCCGGACACAGCAACTTTCTCGGCGTTGACCTTTGATGCAGTAATTGAAAGATCAAGTGTTAAAGTAAAACATGAAGAAATAAATTATTTTCTCTTCTAATACTTTAAGCTTTTAGATGAGGGGTTTTTTACAAGATATCAAGCATACAAGGTTCTGGGTTCAATTCTCAGCGCACCCATTTATGGAAAATCCGTGTGTTAAGGCATTTGATTAGAAAATGAAATGGATGCATTTCACATGACGACATACCACTATCACAAAGGCCCCCATGTCAACACTAGGAGTGAAGGTAGCTAGATTTTTCCCTCTAATATAGATAGCAATAGTTGATGCCAATCTCCCAAGAATCTTGTCAGATGCATCTACCACATACCACGGTTTGTCAGTATTAACATGATCTGCAGCTTTCGGATACCATGTTTTATTCCAAACGTCCTGGAATAAGAAAACAACTATAGATGAGTTTCAATATCTTAACCTGATTGGATTTTGAAAGAAAAATACGTGCATCTTTGCATGAGCTTCAACAAAAATTCAAGGAAAAGTAACAGAATCATGTGCAAGAATTAACTAAAGGTTGACTCTCAAAGCCTGAGAAAAAAATTAATAAAATCCAGTTAACACATGAGACGCTGCTCAAAAACCACATTTGGTGAAAGATTTTTTAACAGCAGAACAATATGATACAGACTTAGTGAATTATAAGAAAATATATAATGCAGGCTTCAGCCAAGATTTCAGCTCATAAATATTTTGTACCAAACAGTTGCATCTCAAAGTGGCAGATACACTTGACGTTGTTGATTAACTTGACCCACAACCACTTCAGCCCAACATGTTGGACACATGTAAAGGAAATCAAATTCCTTGTAATCTATTGTACATCATATAAAGTGTTCGAGATAAATCATTCCAACATATACGATGTCATACTTCCCACAGGATTTTCTTTCACTAACAAGGGAGACTTCTTCTGACAGTTTCTATAACTTTATAATTTTAGTTTTTGACTGCACCTCTAATGATACATTAACTCATAATGCAAAAGCATTAAATTGAACTGAAATGAAGAGAATAAAGGTAGGAGACTCCTTTTCATTCAAAATTTCCATGTATTCTTTGAGTTAGGTTTTCTATTCGAGATTGCTTCATATAGGCAACACCATTATTTTTCAACGAAAACATTAGTTATAGATAGAGAATTCTGTTGTTCCATCTATGAGTTTAAATTCATTGCCCTGATGTTGCATTATAGGTCATTCCTCTTTGCGTAATTGTAAATTTTCATTTCTTGTCGGATTGGGATGGGGTTGCAGTAAATGGATACCATTCCCCTACTCGAGCCTGCAGTTGGTAGGTCAAATATGTCAACGAAATGAATGAAATGAACGTCAACAATCAAACAGGACAGAGTTCACAAATCCATAAACTTTTGCACAGTTTTGTAACTGCATATATGTAGGAAACTTAATCGAAAGGCATAAAGATGCATCAAAAAATTTATAATTTCACGAAAAGAAAACAGAATTAACTAATAACTAGACTCACTAATTCCAACACACTGTGCCTGTTTGAAACTCATTAATTAATTGGAAAAAATGAGTTTTGAATGGTATTTTTAGGAGAATAAGTGGTTAAAAATGAGGGAAAAGTTTTTGGTATACATTTTACCGTGTGAATGTGTGATTGAAAATGATCATATATGCAGTAACAAACTATAAAATAAATTAATGGGTATCAAATAGGCACTAAGTGAGCTAGCAGCTACGAAAAGGATGTTAGACAAGAAGTGAAACTAAATTCCTCCCTCAGTTTTCCTCAACTCTTTGACTACCATAATAAAGTTTCTTTTACCGTCTCGAACAAGCTCCCTTAGCTTTTTAAGGGTAACACGTTTTCTGTAAACATGATGTCAACCCCGTTTCATAATATCTAGGTCTAGGATGTCTGTCAAGTGGCTACATTACTCGGCCAGTTTTCTCCTTCTGCAACTTAGAATATTTTACAGACAGTAAAGCAATTCAGATAATAAGCATTCAGCAGTTCCAGCACTTCATAGAAAGTTCCAAATTGACTAAATTTTTATCCATTTACTCTAGATCACAAATTCCAAAATCTCTGCAAGTTTGCAACTTCCAATAGCAATCATGTCTATTGTTTTTACAAGAATCACAAATGACAACTTCCCACCCCCTGCAACTGCAATTATAATATTGAAACTTTAACAAACAACCCAGAAAAGAAAACTAAAAATAAAACATTCTCAACCAAAAATGCACGGCCACTCAATGCAAATGAAAGCAGGATACGAACTGATAGCTATAACAGAAACACTACTGGGGATTTTTTTCTTACCGGGCCATTGAATCCCGTGTCTTCAAACATCCAACGCTGGTCGACGGGGACCGAGACGGTTTTATTTTGACAGGAAAGTTTGGTAGTTCGATGGGATCTAAGAACGGAAATTAATGGCTTGGATGTAGCGGCAGGTGAGAATCCGAGAAATGGGGATTTCTTCAGAGAAGATGAAAAGGGTTTCTGAGAGGATTCAGTTAACAATAGTGAAGACGAAGAGTCGCATTGTACCGCCATAGCCATTGAGAAGCTTCTCTTTTGCTCTTCTCTACGTCTCTCCCTCCAATTCTGAAACTGAAGCAGCAATGAGCAAAGTTGAATAAAATAGCAGCAGACAGAGGATAAGGTGCATTTACGGCAATTCTTGAAACATTTTTTTTCTTATAATTGACTTATAAACATTTTTATTTTTTGAGGGTTAAAAGGTAAAATAAATAAGTTATTGATTTTAAATTATAAGAAACTTATAATGAAATTAAAGCTGTTTGACGTGACTTTTAATAAGTCAAAAGAAGTTTTTGAGATCCAAAAGTTGTTTTTGAACTTATTTGACTAATTTTATGAAAATTTATTATGAAACATAGATAGAAACTTTCATTATACAACTCATAAACTACGAAAAATGAAGCAGGCACTCGCGCTGTTCTATTTTCAATTGTGCTATATATAACATATTTGTTTACCAATAAATAATGTGACGGAATGTTAACTAAAAAAATAAAATCCCTCCATTTTCTTTTTGTCATTTCACCAATCTGCAAATGGTGACATACAACAAATATTGTCCATTTAATTGTACAACACACGCCTTACTTATTTCAATATCGTAAATTAGTGAAGGATTCCAATGGGTGCTTCCCTCCAAGAGAGAAGCATTCCAATAGGTTAGTGATAATTTTAAAATACCCATTTTCATGCATTCCTTCTGTCTAAGCCCTTATTTGGTTTCCCTAAAAATCAAATTGTCAGTAAATTTTGATAAAAATTGATAAAATGTATGATTGAAAGTTGATAAAAATTATAAATCTCACAAAATGAAATGTATGATTAAAAATAATTTTTAGCGAAAAATGAGTTCACGTGCAAGTGAATTGAACTGCATTTTGTATGTATAATTTCTGTCTTAACTCATTGGTTCTGTTATCCTTATTTCGCTTTCGCATTCTCCTTCTTAATTTACAGCTCCACAATGACGATGATAATGTCATCAATGTTGGGAATCTACTTAACATGCTCAGAGGAAATCAAAATAATTTTCGATTCCCACCAAGAATCGTCTTTGTGTTTAAATAGAAATTGTGATAAGATTGTACTTTATCCATATCTGCAAACTTCTTTGCTATTCTTTTCATTCCAACTATCTTAATTCGCCACCCATAATTATCCAATTGTCCAGCCTCCAACGGTAATTCACACAGAGAACAAGATTGCAGTTACCAGGGTTTTCTCCTCTTGTCCTAGCAAGAATAATTATGAGAAAAACACATATGGATTGAAAATCCTAGCCATGTATTTATATAAGTCCAAACGGGCCTAGCCGGGTCCGGTCCAATATTTAATTAATCAATTTAATTAAATCCAGTTTGTGTATTAATTAATCCATTTAATTAATTCGGGCCTATAAATAACCAAACCAATTAATTAATTTATCTAACGATTGTTAAATTAATTAATTGACAAATTACGATCTTCCAATTCTCTTTTGTGTGCGACCCATAGGTTCCCGATCACGATGCCTAATGACGTGAAATATTGTTTTGATATAATCAAAATTGATAAATTAAAACACCCTTTAATTTATCATCAATTCACACTCGCCGTCCCAAATTGACATCTATCAATGTGTCAAGGCAATACATGTGACGGGAAATGTCATGTGGTATGACAAAACCAATCTCGTTCGTTTATCGTGAAATTATAATCACTTCGTCAATATGATCCAATCAATTACGAGATATGGAAGTGTGTCAATCTCGATTATCGATCATATCTTTCACTTCACTATTAAGTCAATATAATTCGACTTATGAGTACACCTGGGCCAAGGATTTCGATATCGACTTAAATGAATGAAACGCAGATCATAATCTCTTACTATCTAAGAGTGACGAATCCTCTACTGATCATTCACAACCTTCATATGATTATTGACATACTCGAACGATGCCGTATTAGCAGTCATTGGCAGAGCAACATCCAACACCATCAAAGCATGAACGTCCTCATATAAGGTACTATGAGGACCTCAAGTCAAAATGATCAATCCCACTATCGAACGTTAGAGATTAACCACTGACACTCAGATAGTTATCCATGTGAAATCTCTCTACGGGTCTCCAATGTTTTGTTCTATAACAAAACATCCACGTGTTCATTTAAGTGTCATCACACTTTAACTTGTGAGATTAGCTACTTACTTCATAAGTAAGAAATGCCACACATGATGATCTATTCGTAATAACGATATTCGTATCTCATTATTACTTATAACCACGGACAATTTAAGATTCAATCAAATGTAACTTGTATCTCACAATCAAAATTCCTTGTGATTAAAAAATTACGAAGATTTGAATCGACGAACTCTATTATTTATTTAATTATCTACTAATTAAATAATAGATCTGCCATTAAATTGTATTAATTATATATCAAAAGTATTTATGTCCAAAGTTGATTGGACCTAGGGTATAATAGTTGCAAACTCTCACTTGCACTAGATCCAATCACTTAGGTATCCAATATCATAAGTCTACATGACGATCATGTTTATGCTACGACAACTCTGTCGGTAGATTTGCAATATTGTTAAATGTGGGAATTTGTTCTTCTCTTTACGTCATTTCTATATATTATCTCTCTGATGAGATTATATCGCCTTAATACATGTTTGGATCATTGATGAGACCTTAGTTCCTTCGCTTTCGCAATGGCTCTATTGTTATCACAATACAATGGCATGTGATCAACAATATCAGGAACCACTCCAAGTTCATTTATGAACATCATGATTTAGATTGCAATTCTTTGCTACTTCTGAAGTAATCATGTATTAGGTTTCTACTATTGAATCAACAGTTGCTTTACGTTTGAAACATTTTCAACATACCGCTTAAGAGTAAACCAGTTTTTCCATATGAAATCTTCTCAAGGTTTCATCTATGTAAATTGGGAAGAGTTAAGCAATCTTCTAGATCTACGTCTATAGATCAAGTTGCTTCTCCCATATCGTTCATGAATAAATCCTTTAACAATCATTATTTCAACAATTGAAACATAGGGATGTTGTTTTCTATAATATTAGGAATACGACAATGCTCTCACTATCTTCTTGTAAACACACAATTTGTCTTCAAATTTGAAAAAATCAAACACTTTGATTTTTTCATCAAACCTAAGATTTCAACTCCAAGAGACTTCTCTTAACCTATAGTCACGGTATGCAACTGTTGCAAGCAAAACCCGAATGGATTTCAGCAAGGCTACAGGAGAAAAGTTTCACCAAGGTCAACACTTAACCTTTGCTTCTAGCCTTGCTTTGTATATATGAATATTTCCATCCATATCGATCTTTTCCTTGTAAACTATTTACAAAAATTTATGGGTTTTATTCCATCAGGAGGTTTGACAAAGGTCCAAACTTTATTCACATACGTCGAGTTCATCTCGAGTTTTATAGTCTCTTGCTGTCTCTTTTAAGTCAACACTTGACTTTATTTTGTTGCAACTAACATGTTCATTATCCTGGATCAGTAATACCTGATTAGTAATCATGGATTCGCACCTTCTTGAAGCTCGAATGATCCTACTAGATTCACATAGAGCTGATATGTCCTCAAGAGTCTTTACTTCCTGATCAAGAGCGTGTCTCGTCTCAGATATGAGATCAAACTCGGATTTATCTACTTGGTTAACTATATTTGTGGACTCTTAAACTCTTTCAAGTTCTATTTTGCTCTCACTATCCTCCTTAGAGTAAACGTTTTCTCTAAAAAGACAATATGTCGTGAGACGAAGACTTTTTTCATGATAATAGAATTATATTTAAATGTCTATTTTGAATATCCCCACAAATACGTATTTATCGGATTTAATATCAAACTTATCTGATTCAAGGTGCTTCAAATAAGCGTCATGGCCCCCAAACTTTCATATGAGATAAATTGGGACTACCGCCTTTCCATAACTCGTATGGATTTCTGTTAACCAACTTAAATGTGACATGATTTAGTGTGTTACACACTGCAATCAATGCATGACCCCAAAACAATTCTGGGAGATTTGCATGGCTTGTTATTAATCACATTATATCTAATAATTAACGATTCATCCTTTTAGATACACACTATGCTGTAGTGTATGTGAAGGAGTCCACTGCAAGAGAATCTCATTCTCTCTAAGATAATCTAGATTTTATCTTTAAGATACTCTCACTTGATCGAATCTTAATGTGAGTGTATCTTTACCTATTTATTTCTCTACTTCTAGATTGAATCCTTTGAACTTTTCAAGAGTTTCATGTTTGAGTTTCATCAAGTATACATGATCATTGATGAAATAAGAGAAACATTACCTGACATCAATTGACATGAATCCATATGCATCACTATACATTAGACCAATAATTATGCTCACCTTTCTTCTTTTCAAGTAAAAGAATATTTGGTTATTGCGTCAGACATGCATAATTTGTACTTGTCAAAATCAACTAATCCCGAGTATACATTTTTATGTAACTTTGAAATTACATTTCATCTATATGACAAAGTTTGTCATGCCAGATTTCGGTAATAATTAGACTATCGCATTTATACCTTATAATTTCTATACTCATTATAGAATCATTAGTATTAAAGAATATAAACGTCATTTTGTAATTTACCATAGTCATTATATTTTTATCAAGATAAACAAGAACAACAATTGTCCTTAACAATAAAATAGTTCATGTCCGAATATGAAATTCTTTTTAATGTTCCAGCTATGGTGGGTATAAAGCGACATTTCTCTAATTTCAATACTAAACCAAAAGGCAACGACAAGAAGTATATTCCTACAGGCAATGCAGCAACCTTTGCTCATATCCAACGTGTAGGTCAACTTCTCCCTTTCGCAGTGGTCTACTTGTATTTAGTTTCTCCATATTTGTATAAATATGAGATTTACATCTGGTATCAAATACCTAAGAAACTCGTGAAGTAAACATAAGCCACACAATATTCCTTTCAATGACTTATCATTCTATAATGAAACCAATGGTCATTAGATTTGGTATTGTTCTTCGCTTAGACTGTCTTAACCATATTAGGTGCTTTCCCAAAACTCCTTTAGACTTCCTCT